ATATAAACATTATTATAGATAAATATTTTTAATTTGGTTAAGTAAAAATATAATTATATTTATTTCTTTTACATTTCTTATATCTATTTTTTCTAAATACTATATATTCGGTTTCAATTTTTCACTAGAATAAAACGCATCAATTCTTACATCCATATTTCTCTAAAATTTATACGCTCTAAGATTGAACTTTTGGATCGCTTCCGAAACAAATAGCTTTCATCATATTTTTCTGTATCTGATCCGAAATTGTGCGTAAAAAGAATTTTCCTTGTCTCGCGTCTCTTATCGCTATATATAATTTATAGCACATGACAGAAAGAGTATAAGAGGAAGAGTCCCATGACATAATTTATTCGTCGGACGTGGCGATTTCGAGAGCGCGTTCGAAGTAAGCTCAAACGTGGAAGCCGTCAGACGATCGTCTTCGACATATACATCGTATGCCTCGCCAGACGGCTTTAGATCGTTTCGCGGCATATTTTATTCAGCGGAACACATTTTTGCGGCTGAACACGTTCTAGCCTTTCGAAAATGTAGTACTTGCATGCGCATACTGGAGTTCTTATGCCAGGAAAGCTTGCAGAAAGAATATTTGCAGTATCACGAATAAACGAAGATATGCGATCGGTCCTCTTTCTTCCAGGAAATTGGTTTCGTAATATTTCAGTTGAAAAAAAGGAGAGAAGGGGACATGCAAAAAACTGTTGTTTCAATATTCCCCTTTCGGCAAAAATGCAATTTTTCTTGCAGTTATGAAATATGCATCAGGGAGATAGACTTTTCTGTGCGATATAATTTATCTCTGCATACAAAAGAACAAAATTGGAATCAGATTCTGATAGACGGTGGCTTCGGTTTATTTAAACATTAAGCAAGATTTCGTAGCACTATCGAATTTCAATTTAGCCACGGATTTTAATCTCATGTTTTTTTTTCCACTTGTTTCACGCAACATTAAGTAAACTTGGTAGCGCACAAAATTCGTAATGCTCTAATAATGTTATAATGAAGTTATTTGTAAAAGAAAATATCTTATCCGTACAATAATTCGTGCTTCTTGTGACAAAGAAAAATATTGCGGACGTCGAAAAGTAAAGACAGAAAAAGTATTTAATGAAACTAGTAGTCACGCAGTAATTAATATTGGAAAAGAAGTCATCATTTTTATTTTTAATTTTTCTGCTGTCCCGCAGTCTTGTTGTTCCCGTACTATACCTGTAACTTTTAATGCGATAATGAGGTAAACAGCCGCGAGTTGTGTACGTGACATTCTTTTGTACCTCTTGTACCAAATAACTACAGACACATGTTCGCGAGATCTTCAGCAAAATCGATGAAACTAGAATTATTATATTGCTATATACGTGCCATTATTACCACTCCCAATTTCCCGAAATTCAGCCATGCCCTCCCACGTTTCCGACGAGCCATTGAGTTCGTTTCGCAGAGAATTTATGAGCACAGAGCCATTGTTCTTGAGCTTGACAACTCTCGAGAAACGACATCCGATTATCAGCCTAAGGCGCAATCCGAAAATCCTGCCCGGAAAAATACTAGCGATAAAAAAAACGGATAAATGTATTCTTCTTTTTGTATTTCAGGACTCTATTTCCCGCAATCCAATCTCACTCTAAGATTTCCGTACTTGGTTCGACACGGCACAAGGGTTGTACCGGAGGTCAAATTAATCAGCCTTAGGACCATTCGGAATGACTCCACTGTATCGCAAGATGTGAAGTATCAGATCATCAGACCGCAGGAGAATGCAATTTACCAGAAAAACACGAGCAAGATTCTGCTGCAGAATCTTCCGCAAAATGGTAGGTGCATTTCTACCTTTCCCTTTTCATTATCTAAAAAATATATAATATTGCAAGATATATATTTGAGTTTAATTAAAATTATATCTTTTTAATGAATAAGGAACCCTTGGTACTATCATCGTCAAAGCGAGCGAGAAAGGTAGCAGCGAAGCGCTACTCGAAATAAAAGTACAGCCAGTACCAGTAATGGGAGAAACTATCAATTGTACGGACTACATGCAGGTAATTTATCGCCATAAATTTTTATTTTCTTTTGAATATTCGAGTGCACTTAACCCATTAACCGTCGCAATCATTATTTAGAATTCATATAGTGCGCATAAATAATTAAAGCCGATCTACATAATGGAAAGATTGCATAATAATTTATTTCGCTATAATCAATAAATATAAATAAAATGTTATAAATAGTCATGGAAATTTACTCGATTATTCACGTTACATGAAATATTAAGATAATGGCTCGATTGATGGGTTAATGCGTCGAAGTATATTTCATCGAAGCGTGGTCTACAAGGTTTCGAGTGTTGCAGGACATGTGCTTCTGGAACACATCGAACTACAAGATTTATGAGAATCAACCAGTCACAATGATTGGCACGTTCGGCCCGGAGGCGTACAGCCATGTGTGTCCCGACTTTAGCGTCACCAGATATGAATTATCAAATGGCAAGTATCTTTCGCGTGACATCTCAATCCTTTCAAATTTAGTTTTAAAGCCACGCAGTTATTTTATTTATTACCACGACAATTTGAATTTTAAAAATCAATTTATCTATAAATTCTAAATAAATTTCCGGAATGTATCTCTAGCGTATTTTAATCAACTCGTGAAAAATTGAGATACTCAATTTTCCTCGTGTTTAAGATCTTCATTTTTGTTAATTGATATATAGTCTCCATGAATCGTATTGTCGCTCTAGTGACATTCGTTAAATCGGGTTTCTATTTGCAAGAGATAAATTTCTCGTCAAGGATCGAGCATTTTTCACTGACAAAGCCGGGAACACAACGAAACGGTGATTGATTGGGATCATTCGACGTAAAATACGTATAAATCCTGTTGCTGCCGCGGTAGCTAAAGCTGCCGTTAGATCCGCTCAAACTATCGTCATTAAAATTCGCTGAAGACGTCGTTACCATCAGTCACATAATACATAGCAACGCGAATCTGCAGTCCTCTTTGTGTGCGACGAACATATATCAAAGCCCCAAATATCTTTTCAGCAACGGTTTTAAATTTTATTTTTCTGCCGTTGAATAGAAGCTGCCGAAAAAATGTAGCAAACATCATATTTCAAATGTTGGCGTTTTCGTAAAAAGAGTTTAATCTAGTACTAATAGGAGAAGGAAAGAGAGAGAAATATTACTATTAAATACTTATATAAAAACAAAAATAAATAGCATACATTAAAATATTAACTTAAATTTTTTATTAACCATAAAATGATACATTACATGTAGAGATTTTTTTTACTATTATGCAATATTAATAATATTTAAATAATGTTATAGAAGTAATCTCTTTTTTATATATTAGATATACATAATAGATATTTATATTAAGATATAATTTTAATTTTAAAATAATATATATACGTATATAAAAGAGCCATATGAAAGCGTTATTGTACTATGACAGTGTTTTCTATTATGTACAAATCTGATAATCTGATAAATTTTGCGCCTTTGTTTTCTCTCTTTCCCAGAATTCATTCAATTATATTAATTTATGCTAATTATATATATATATATATATATATATATATATATATATATATATATATATTTTTATATAGAATAGAAAAAAAACATTGCGCAATTGCAACATTTGAAATTATTTTCATTTTTCTACTTTTTTGTTTTATAGATGTCGAGGACATAATTAAAGAAATATGAGACAATGCTAACGGAGATAAAGAATTCAATGCGTTATCGAGATATACTAAAGAAAAGTAAATTTTTTTTGATTGTTTAAAACATCTTAC